TGTTTTTTCCAGGAGAGAACATTTAAGCATCTCGATGCTTCATTTTCCATCCCCATGGGCTCAAGTCGCAAGGCTGCAACACAAAAAAATGTTTCTTCTTAGAAACGATAGTGTCACCGGTCACAGTTAGCATTCATCTTCAGCTTGTTATGAAGGCAGGCTCCAGCTATGAAGTGTGGAAAGAGGTTTGATTCTCACACAAACATTACTACAGTTAGTGAAGGACTTCTGAGCTAGGTACCAACATTCAAAAGGCCAAGGCAGCATTGATCTAAATTACATGGTTTTCTGTAACCAGCATAGTTTATGTTGGTAGCAAACAGAACACATAATTCCCCCTTAGGATGCCGGGGGGAGTGGAGCGGAACGGGCCAAACTTTTGCAGATTTTTGGAGCACACGTCTGCCAGGATGGCACATGCTCAGTTCTCACACACCAACTGAACCTGCTCCAGCTTCGGGCTGCAGAGCTGACCAGACTGAGCAGGACTTTTCTTTTGCTGTGGGATAAGGGCATGCACCCAGGTAATTACCGTGAGGCAGCTGGCATGCACCAAGTCCCTGCCCCCTTTGATGTTGTGCCCATCCCCAGAGTTTTGTTAAGTGAGGTCCGTGAACAGGATAGAATACAGCAGGCATTTCTGCAGCCCTTCAAGTAGCCTTGGAAGTCTAAAGTCTTCAATACTTTCCTCTCTCTCCTTTTTTATTGTCAAACAGGGCTGTCCAAGTGGAGGCCTGGAGGCCACATCTGGCCCCTGAGGGGTTACCCTGTGGTCCTCAGGCTCCCAGTCTCTCTACTGTTCCAGCTGCTGCCAGCAGAGTCTCCACCTGCCTCCTCTGGCTTCTGCTTTCTGCCCCCACCCCTTAGGATGGGGTAGCAGGGGAGTGGCCCACAGCAGCCCACAGCCGGGCAGCCAAGGACCCCATGCAGCACAGTACAGGCCTGTCTGTACAGTACAGTGAGAGGGGCTCATGTGGCATGGTGCGACATACAGAGCATGGGGTTGCCAGCACAGAGCAGTGAGGGGGAGAGGGTGGCTGTTGTGCAGCATGTCATATCACAGCATGTCCTACATGGCGTGCATCTTGCTGAGCGTACAGTCCATGCGGTGTATGGCCAGGGGGCCTGTGGCCCCCAGCCACCCTGAACTTGAACAGTACTGTTGAAAAAAAATGATTTTTTTTTCAATCTCATTCATGCCTATTCTGGTTCCATTCCATCCATGCTACCTGCATATTTTACTGCCATCACTGTCTGAGTTTCCTATTGTCTGATGGCCTTGCCATTGAGTTGTAGACATATCTGGGGTGGAACAGCCACAGTCCCCCTGTGAGAGGCAGCTACATGCTTGCATGAGACATTAAGTGAGGGAGGAGGAGAGTCCCCTGGGTGTGAGGCAGGGGAGTGAGTAGGATGGCACAGCCATGGCCCCCCTGTGTAAGAGCAGGGCATGAGCTCAGGGGGGACAGTAAGGGAGAGAGGGGGTATCCTCTGATTTTGAGGCAGGGACATGGAAGTAGGTAGGAGTGGGAGGGAATATGGGCGGAAAAAGGTTTCTCTCTTACGGAGGCAGTGAATGGGGGTTGAAAAGTGAGGCTGGGTTGGGCTAAGAGGGAATACCCCTAGGCAGGGGGGTTGGGTTAGGTGGATGGTTTTGAATTTCGAGGTATTTGGGGGAGAGTTTGTTTCATTACACTAGCTTATTTAATATTTTGTTTTGTTTTTATAAGTGACTTTTTTTTTTTTTAATTGTAGGCCACCTTGAGCCTCTTTTGGGAAGGGCAGCATAACAAATAAAGGAAATAAAAAATAAATACAAGAAAAAAGCTCAGGGAGGACTGGGGCTCCGACTGCCTGAAAACATTCAGAAGTGGAATAATAAACGTGACTATGGCGATGATGACAAATATTGCAAGGTGGCTCAGATGTACAGGGATATAAAAGAGAGTTTGCTATTGCTAAATCCCAATGGGACCATAGCAATCTGTCCCTTTCTATGATCCCATTGCTAAGCCCCCTGCAACACAGATAACCAATGTGCTTGTTGGCCATAATGTGGTGAATCAAGCCCCTATTTTTTTTTCCTTTTTTTGTTTTAAGGCTTCTTTTCAGGTGTTATGGCCTTTTCTCTCTGGCAGCACAACTGAAAGGGTGATCCTGAGAGTAACCTATGGGATGAAATTTAAGTAATTTCCATTTCTACCAGACTTCCTCTACAACCACGGGCAACTCATTTCATCTTTCTGTCTCATTGCCCCATTGGTGAAATGAGGATAGTAACTTCTGGGCTCATCTACATGTGCCACTAGCGTGCAGCAATAAATGGCGGAGCTTATTGCTCCACAGCTTATTGCTCCTGGGAAGCTCCTGGTTGTGCAGTTTACATGTGTGCCCAGACTGCAGCACATTGAGCTGGGTCCAAGTAGTCCCAGCTAGGAGGGGGCCCTCAGGGTCAGCTTGCCTGGGTGGGGCCCCTTCAGGTTACTGAGATACAAAATAATAATAATGATCTCCCTATGTGACAAAATTCAGGTGTCACATGAATAATACATCACATTACATCACTCATCCAGTTTGGAGTTTGGCAGACTCAAATGCTATAGGTTTATGTCCAAATCACAAAAATCTTCACGTGCAGCAATTGGTTTAATATAATGCAAAATAGCACAAAGACAGATCAAGCAAGCACAACAAGGTAAAGCAGAGCAAGATTCATCAAATGGGAAATGTTTCCTGCTTCGAATACAAAGGCTGCTGCAGGAAACAGAGAATTGATAGGGCCAGACACGACTCAGTGCCAAGCTGGGCTTTGGCAGGGCTGAAGAATGTGCTGTGAAGGGCTCTAAATCACCTTTCTGCTCCATGATATTAGGCTGGTCAGGTGTCAAAAGAGCCCAAAAGAAGCACTCTAAGGACTGCTCCAAGTCAACTTACTTCAGTGACCACCTTGAAGTAAAGAGCCACTGTGCAGACCAGGATCCTGCTCCACAACAGCACATCCTCTATGTGGAGGTAGGAGGGAGCAAGTTGGCTGAAGACTGCCAGGTATCTGGCTTTCAGCTACTTGCTCCCTCCTACCTCCACGTAGAGGATGTGCTGTTGTGGAGCAGGATCCTGGTCTGCACAGTGGCTCTTTACTTCAAGGTGGTCACTGAAGTAAGTTGACTTGGAGCAGTCCTTAGAGTGCTTCTTTTGGGCTCTTTTGACACCTGACCAGCCTAATATCATGGAGCAGGAAGGTGATTTAGAGCCCTTCACAGCACATTCTTCAGCCCTGCCAAAGCCCAGCTTGGCACTGAGTCGTGTCTGGCCCTATCAATTCTCTGTTTCCTGCAGCAGCCTTTGTATTCGAAGCAGGAAACATTTCCCATTTGATGAATCTTGCTCTGCTTTACCTTGTTGTGCTTGCTTGATCTGTCTTTGTGCTATTTTGCATTATATTAAACCAATTGCTGCACGTGAAGATTTTTGTGATTTGGACATAAGCCTATAGCATTTGAGTCTGCCAAACTCCAAACTGGATGAGTGATGTAATGTGATGTATTATTCATGTGACACCTGAATTTTGTCACATAGGGAGATCATTATTATTATTTTGTATCTCAGTAACCTGAAGGGGCCCCACCCAGGCAAGCTGACCCTGAGAGCCCCCTCGTAGCTGGGACTACTCGGACCCAGCTCAATGTGCTGCAGGCTGGGCACACATGTAAACTGCACACCCAGGAGCTTTCCAGGAGCAATAAGCTGTGGAGCAATAAGCTGCGCCATTTATTGCTGCACGCCAGTGGCACATGTAGATGAGCCCAGAAGTTACTATCCTCATTTCACCAATGGGGCAATGAGACAGAAAGATGAAATGAGTTGCCCGTGGTTGTAGAGGAAGTCTGGTAGAAATGGAAATTACTTAAATTTCATCCCATAGGTTACTCTCAGGATCACCCTTTCAGTTGTGCTGCCAGAGAGAAAAGGCCATAACACCTGAAAAGAAGCCTTAAAACAAAAAAAGGAAAAAAAAATAGGGGCTTGATTCACCACATTATGGCCAACAAGCACATTGGTTATCTGTGTTGCAGGGGGCTTAGCAATGGGATCATAGAAAGGGACAGATTGCTATGGTCCCATTGGGATTTAGCAATAGCAAACTCTCTTTTATATCCCTGTACATCTGAGCCACCTTGCAATATTTGTCATCATCGCCATAGTCACGTTTATTATTCCACTTCTGAATGTTTTCAGGCAGTCGGAGCCCCAGTCCTCCCTGAGCTTTTTTCTTGTATTTATTTTTTATTTCCTTTATTTGTTATGCTGCCCTTCCCAAAAGAGGCTCAAGG